CAAAGGAGCAGGAAAGCTGATGTTTCAGGTCTGAACCCTTCTTCAGAAATGGTGTACATTCCTGATGAAGGGTCTAGACCCGAAACGTCAGCTTTCCTGCTCCTCTGATGCTGCCTGGCCTGCTGTGTTCCTCCAGCTCTACACCTTGTTACCTCACCATTCTGAGCCCATTTTCCAGCACTTGGCCCATAGTCTTGTTCTCTGGGCATGAGACTTTTTCTCATGAGAGAAGGAGAAATGTTTTCACCCAGAGAGTGGTGAGTGAGCCTGTGGAATTCTCTACTCGAGAAAGTGGCTGAGGCCAAACATTGAATGTTTTCCAGAAGGAGTCCTGAGTGCTAAAGGGATCAAAGGGTATGGAGTAAAAAGTGGGAGCGTGGTACTGAGTTAGATTATCAGCCATGATCATATTGAGTGGCAGACCTCAAAAAGTCAAATAGCCTACTCTTGTTCCTATCTCCTATGTTCCTGTGCTTGTATGTGCATGTGTTATGTATCCTGTGAATGATTTTCTGTGTACACGCATGTGGATATGCACATGGGCAAGTTTCTGTATGTGTGTTACATGTTCTTTGTATATGCGTGTAAGTTTGTGTGTGTGTGTACACCTGAGTATTTTTCCGAATGTATGCACATCCTATACAAACACACACTTTCTCCCTGAGATTTTTGGCTGGATCTATGCCATTCTGCCCATATTCTACATACTCCTTGTTCCCATTCTGTTGTCGTATTCTTTAACGTTAATCGTGATAATCATAAACGATGGATTGTGTGTCACTGTGTAACCAGGAAGCCTGTCCGCATTGCTGTGCTCCAAGTGGGGTCCACTCAAGGACAATGAAGCCACAATCATTTTCTACACCCGACAGATCCTGGAGGGCCTTAAATACCTGCACGAGAATCAGATTGTGCACAGGGACATTAAGGTAATGGGGACGAGGCTGCGTGTCTCTGACATCATTCATCACTCTGTTAGTAAAAGCGCAAACTCTGTGAACCCAAGTTAGTACTGGTCTTTCTCATGCAGAAAGGGTTGGAAGTACAAACCCAACACTGAGGGCGGTTAGCTTCCAAAACAGTAAGGTTAATTTGGGTGAAGATAAACAAACATTTCATGGTCTTGAGCCCATTGAAGAAAACAACCAAAGATAAATCATGGAATCAGAGCAGGACAGTCAGGTCAGCTGAGAAGCCAAGACAGCCATAACCACAGCTCAGCCTGGGCCAATGATCAGGACTCCAGGCTGAAAGATGAGCTGTCAGACTCTGAGGACAGAGCGAGCCTGTGGACCTACATTCCTCACTCTCTCAGAATGACTGGCATGTTTCCCACAATTCATCGGGGCCCCCTTTGGAGAGTCTCACCTTCAGCTGTCCCGTGGAGTCGATCATTCCAAATCCCTACCCCTTGCCCCAATCCGTGATATCATCCGGAGAAAACTGGGACTGGGCGGAGTCAGGAATTGAGTTTGGGAATGGCAGGTTTCAAAAGGCAGCAGGTATCTGAAATCAGAGCGTGGAGATTTGTGGGAGGACATGCCACTGTTGGATGGATCAATAATGTCACCATCCCCATGGAGACCAATAAATAAAAATGAACCAATTTTGCTGAACAATGTCAGAGGAGTCAAAGGACAATACTTCACCATCTGATAAGGTACTTTAACAGTCAAACGAAAATCAAAATAAGTTCAACAATACTCATGGAGTAATGTGCACTTTAAAGAGCAGATCCAGCAGAGGTAGAGCTCACAAATCTTTTCACATATGGCATTAATCCCAGCCACAAAACCCTACAAATTTTGAAACATTCTCTGGCTGAATTCCAGCTTCTTTTCCTTCAATATTAAGCCACCAAATCCCATTCAATAGCTACATTACTCTAGCCAGGATCCACAGCTACAATTTTTGTTAAAAAGCACACGTTTCCAACTTCCTCTCAGCTACGCCCTTTGCAATCTCAGTGCCCATCTTTAGCTTTGTTTTGACATTCTTCCTTTTGCTAAGATCCTGCGGTGGGCGATTCACATTCATTTTAGTTAAGTTCTGGACAAACTCTCTCTCACTTCTCTATCTCTCTCTTCTATCTCTCTTTATCTGTCTGTCTCTGTCTCTTCCTGTATCTCACTCCTGCATCTCTCCATTTCTCTGGATGACTGCCCCTGTTGTTCTCCTGGATCCTCGGGAGCTCCATTTGGCTGCAGTGCCACTGGGCCAAACCAAACCACAAGGGCACCTGCCCCAGGAACCAGACTGAGTGTCTGTCACTGGGACCCTGGACTTCCCAATGTACAGCTACTGCCTGCCTGTCAGATGCACCCAGCATTATGTGCCCCCAGGCCCTGCCTCCTCGGTCATCATCAATGGCTGTCAACAGGATTTGAACTGTTAACTCTGATTCCTCCCCACAGATGCTGCTGGCTTTCTCCAGTATTCCCTGTGTTTATCTCAAGGTGGCATGGTGGCACAGTGGTTAGCACTGCTACCTGTCAGCGCCAGGGACCCGGGTTTAATTACACCCCCGGGCAACTGTCTGTGTGGAGTTGCACATTCTCCCCGTGTCTGCGTGGGTTTCCTCTGGGTGCTCTGGTTTCCTCCCACAGCCCAAAGATGTGCAGGCTAGGTGGATTGGCCATGAGAAATGCAGGGTTACAGGGATAGGGTAGGAGGGCATGTGGAATGCTCTTCAGAGCAATAGTGGATACATGATGGGCCGAATGGCCTGTTCCCACACTGTAGGGATTCTATGATTCTATTGCTCCTCAGTCCCATTGCTTGTCCATCTTCACTGTCCTCTTTCCCCATCATTCCCAAACATGACTCATTCCCTCCCCTTCTTGTTCATCATTCATCTCATTAGTCCCTGCATTCTACCTCCATACCCACTATGCACAGTGTAATCCCAGCACTGGTGAACACCTTCAACTCTCTGACTTCTGGGAAGACGATTCCCTGTGCAGTCTGTCGCTCCCCAGCCCCACCTTGACATCCCTGTCTTGGCCTCTTCCTGTGCAGCTGCTGGAGATGTGTTTTTCTGCTCGTCACCTGCTCCTACACCAAGCACTCATTCCTGTGAAACACCAGCAGACAGCTAGGGCTTGTAAAAATGGCTGTAGCTGTCATTCACAGTGCTGTCGGTTCTATAATAGAATCAGTCGCTGATCAAGTGTCGTGCAGAGTGGGATTTTTAAACTGTTGTTGATCGACATTTGATCAGGGAAGAGTTGGAATGAGAATGATGAAGATTATGAAGATTAGGTGTGTCAGGGAGAGGGCTGGTTGATGTGCAGCGAGGTGAGGGCTGGTGATGGGCAGCGAGGTGAGGGCTTGTTGATGTGCAGCGAGGTGAGGGCTCGTTGATGGGCAGCGAGGTGAGGGCTTGTTGATGGGTAGCGAGGTGGGGGCTGGTTGATGTGCAGCGAGGTGAGGGCTGGTGATGTGCAGTGAGGTGAGGGCTGGTGATGGGTAGCGAGGTGAGGGCTGGTTAATGAAATGTCACTTGTGCTCAGTGCCTTCAGTCGCTGTTAGTGCTGGAGTAAGGACTGATATTTTGCGTTTACCCTTCACTGAACTGTCGTCTGTCTTCAAAGGGAGACAATGTGCTGATAAACACGTACAGTGGATTGCTGAAAATCTCGGACTTTGGAACATCCAAGAGGCTGGCAGGGATCAATCCCTGTACGGAAACTTTCACAGGTGCGTGTCTGCGAGAGTAGGGTCATGAGCGGAGAGACAGGCCGCTCGGAGTTGGTACCTTTGGGGGTTGATGTTAGCGAGGGTCAGTCTTGAGCTTTGATGTTGTCGGGCTTTGACATTGTGCTGTGTTTGGACTCTGTGTTCTTCAGGCACCCTTCAATACATGGCCCCTGAGATTATCGACAAAGGACCGAGAGGTTACGGCAAACCTGCGGATATCTGGTCCCTGGCCTGTACCGTCATTGAAATGGCCACAGGAAAGCCTCCCTTCTTCGAACTGGGGGAGCCTCAGGCTGCAATGTTTAAGGTAACAAAGCTAACAGGCTATACGTTTACAGTCAGCACAGGGTTCCTTGTTTAGGGCTGAGCGCCGGGGTAAGATTTGGATCTCTGAGGAAATATAAACCGGGCTGTCATTCACTGTGACCCCTGAAGGCAGAACTGACCCTGTCTGACATCTTCCCTTGGCTGAAAATCTCACTAATGCTCCTCTCCAGGAACCTCACCACCTGAAAGGGGTTTCGGTGGGTCTGTGCCCCACTGGGTGCCGATTGGTTCAGGAAAGAAAGGGGGGACAAGTCTGAGGGAGGGAAGGAATTAAAATCTGCAAAGGCAAATTACACCCAGCATGAGTAACTTTAACCTATCACATATTAACTGCAAGTCACTAAGGACAATGTTAGTGTTCGGGCACCTGGCTCATTTACCATTCCCATTGAGCTAGAGAATGGCCAAATGATTTGATTTATTATTGTCACATGTACCTAGGTACAGTGAAAAGTTTGTTTTGCGAGCAGTACGGGCAGATCATACCATACTCAGTGCATTAGGGTAATAGAACAGAGCGAGGAATACAATGTTACAGCTGCAGAGAAGGTGCACAGTGAGTGAAATCAACATTAAATTTAAAATAGAGAGCGGGTTAAGTGTATTGGTGCAAGGATCGTTTATGGGCACCCTTGGGTGTTGCTGGCAGAATGTTACTATTTACAGCATGAGAATTATGAGGATGTGTTGTGAAATCGAGCAGCTCGATAGCACAAATTGGTGATTTCTGACTTAGAGTTCTTTCGTGCCACTTCACTTTCCCTGGCGGGCAGTTGCGTGCTTTGTGTTTGATTCCCTGTTTCTTTGCCTGTAGGTGGGAATGTTTAAAATCCATCCAGAAATCCCGGAGTCCATGTCCCCAGAGGCGAAGGCTTTCCTCCTACGTGGCTTTGAACCCAATCCTGACAAACGGGCCACGGCAGCAGAGCTCCTCAAGGATCCATTCCTGAGCCGGAAGAAAACAAAACCCGCTCTGAAGCCAGGTCCGTGAACGAGTGAGAGTAGGAGTAGGGTTGGGTGCTGAGGTGGTCGGGCTAATGGAAATGAGAAACGGAACAGGCTGCAATGGGAATAGGATGGAGTAGGAGCAGCAAGCAATCAGAACAGTGAGTTTAAGAAGGCGTTTAGCACACTTGCCTTCATCACTCAGACCTTTGATTATCAGAGTTGAGATGTCATGTTGAGGATACACAGGACATTGGTGAGGCCTTCTCTGGAGTACTGTGTCCAGTTCTGGTCGCCCTGTGTAGGAGGGATGTTATTAAGCTGGACAGGGTTCAGAAGAGATTTACCAGGATGTTGCTGGGAATGGAGGGTTTGAGTTATAAGGAGAGGCTGGATAAGCTGGGACCTTTTTCACTGGAGTGTAGGACATTGAGAGGTGACCTTATAGAGGTTTATTAAATCATAAGAGGAATAGATAAAGTGAATGGCAAGTGTCTTTTCCCTAGGGTAGGTGATTTCAAGAATAGGGGGTATATTTTTTAAGATGAGAGGAGAAATATTTAAAAAAGACATGAGGGACAATTTTTTGACACAGAGAGTGGTTCATGTGTGGAGTGAACTTCCAGAGAAAGTGGTGGATACAGGTACAGTTACAACGTTTAAAAGATATTTGGACAAGTACATGAATAAGAAATGTTTGGAGGGATAATGGGCCGAGCGCAGGCTGGTGGGAATGGTTTAGTTTGGGATTATGGTCGGCATGGACTGGTTGGACCAAAGGATCTATTTCCGTGCTGTATGACTCTATGACTGTAACTATATCTAATGCAAGGCAGAGGAATCCGACAGATTAGGATGGAAGGAAAAGTCACAGAATTGGAATGAGAAGCAGCTGAATAGGGATGAATGGGATAGTTTGGATTTGGAATCACTGGGAAATAGAAACAGAGGGAATGGAACGGAGTTCAATCATTGAATGAAGAACACAGTAGAAGGGACACAGTGAGCAGGAATGGAACTGCACTGAGGCAGTTGGACTGAACATGGCAGGAAGCAAGAGATAGCAAATGATTTAGGAATAAACTGGAGAGGAAAAGAAAGATAGAGAATTGCAAAGAGGGGAATAAGAGGTAAAGTTACTACTGAGTCTAAACAGGTGCTGTATGCTGAGGAATGGGATAGAATGAGATCCTAGGGATTGCACTGAAAATAAATGGAATGAAAGAGAAACCAAGTAAGCCAGATTGAAGAAATGGAACTGGGCAGGATAGGGATGTGGATAATTTGTGTGCAGCAAAATGGTGGATCGAGGAATGTACAGAAAGAAGTTAGAGAAAATGCTAGAAGTGTCCATTGATACAGTGGGTAAAACTAGGCATTAGCCCAAGATGATAAGGCATGGTGAGAAAGCTGAAGGAGTTTTCACTCAGTGTGGTCCAGCTATATATCCTGTCTTTCTTATGTACTGTCAAATGTGAGGATTCTTCGTTTGCAATGAGACCTTTAAAAATTTAAGTTCTGATGTTTTGCAATAATCCCATTCAGGCAGCAGCTGTGCTCCTGGCATTTATTTAGTTGTGGATAATGTCCAGTGGCACTTTGACATTGCCGAAAGCAGCAAGTGTTTGGAGATAGAGCAGTGCTCTGGGTGCTGTTATCTGACCAATCTGCACTGACTCAGATCTCCAACATTCGCAATTAACCAGTTGCGAATCAGTCTTGGCCAAGACAGAGAAGCTCACAGTTTCCAATTCGCCCTTAAGTTTGCAAACAGTGTTCCCTGCTAATCCATCCCACTGTACATTGTTCCTGCTCACTTACACAAATACAGTGCACCCTCTATTAGCCTTGTGCTAGACACATAATAAATCAGGAGGTCTTTATGAGGCATTAAAGCTTGCACAATACAAGGGAGACTGTGAATTTGCACATACAAACCTATGATGTAGTGATGTCCTCGCTTGAAACCCACAAGGGAGACTTGAACACAGGATCTAGGCTACACCAAGGAAGCGCTGCATTGTCAGAGGTGGCATCTTTCAGATACGACATTAAAACCAATGTGTCATCTTCCCTGTCAGGTAGATACATAAGATCCCACAGTACTATTCAAAGAAGTACTGACAGGTAATTGTTGGTGCCTGAACAAATATTTATCACCTGGCCAACAATTATATCCAGTTATTTATCTTAGAACTGTATCTAGGAGCTTGTGGATAAATTGCCTGCCAGATTTTCCCACGTTAAAATGAAGACCACTCTCTAAAAGTACTCTGTATTTGCTGTGAAGCATGTGGGACATCCTGTGGATGTGAAAGGTGCTATTTAAATGCAACTCTGCCTGCTGGTCTTCAAAACTTTTGGTGTTGTTCATAGCCACAGTGATACTGAGTGCCTGTTGGTGGTGATATTGAGCAAGTTGGACATCCAAAGACAATTGGTCTGACTGCAAAACCCACATCAGATCAGAGAGCACCCTCTGCTAGTAAACAGTGGACAAGGTCAGAAATCAGACACCAGCTTATAGTCCAACTGGTTCATCTGAAGACTGGAGCTTTCAGAGTCTTGCTCCTTCTTCAGGTGTTAGTGAGAGAGGTGGTATCAGACACAGAATTTATAAGTAAAAGATCAAAGGGTCAAACAACTGATGAGGATGTATTAAACCAACCTAAGATGTTGTTAAATCTTTAATCAGTTAGAAGGTTTTAATTGATTAATATGTATATATAAATTCCCAAATTTCTTCGAAGTCACTGTCCTGAGAGAACTAAAGGTTTTATCAGTGTAAAGAAGAGGTGACAATTTAGGTCAGACAATGCATGTTAGGTGTGAGGCCTTGTTTAGAATCTGTTTGTGTTTTGGTTTGGAGTCAGATTCGTTTTATTTCTAAAGCAGGAATTTATAAAACGCCACAATGACTGACTGTCTATAAATTGTGTGCTTTTTGAACAAAATAGAATGTACCTGCAAGTACAGATTCATCCCATAGATTTATGTGTGTGCATGTTTGTGTGAGGGGGCAGAGAGACTATGTGTGTGTGTTGGGGAGAGAGAGAGTGTGTGTGTGTGTTGGGGGGAGAGAGAGAGAGTGTGTGTGTGTGTGTTAGGGGAGAGAAAGAGAGAGAGTGAGTGTTTGTGTGTGTTGGGAGAGAGAGAGTGAGTGTGTGTGTGC